ATGTGATCCTGTTGGGAAATAGGATTTTCTTTGCAATGTTAATCACATCACACTTGATAATCCCTTCTGAGTTATGAAAAGAGATTAGGCAGAGGCAAGCTGGCCAGCAGAAAACAGAGGCTGAGGACAGAGTGAGCTGCATCTTCAGGTCTGACAGCTCCCAGGGTTGATAACTGGCTACCAGCCATTGAGCCCTGGTGGAACACTGGCTAAGGCAGGCAGATTGGATCCACCAGCTGCTCTGCAGGTGAAAGCAGTGACAGTCTTTCCAGAAAAAGTTACAACGTCGGAAACTCCATGGGGTGGTTCTACCATACCTGACCCAAAAGGTCACGCTGGGTCAGAATCGATCCAATGGCAACAGGAAGTAGGTGACAAAGAAAATGACCCCAGGCCCCAGACTCACTCTAGCTTCAGACTTCAGCCTCCTGAACTGGGAGAACAGGTTGTTCTTTAAGCTGGGAATATGTAGTGTTCCTATTGGACTAGTGCAAGGAAAGGCATCGAGAGGGACAGGCAGGTGTCCCACTTGAAGCTGCTCAATCAAGTCACGCTTCAGGCACCTGGTTAGCCCCGGCATGACAGCCATCTCTCATCTCCCTCTTACTTACCTTCTTCAGGTGCTGTCACATCAGTCCCTGCTCCTAGCGTCCCCAAGGACAACAAGACAAAACGCTGCCAGGTCCTGCACCACCCTCACCAGTGTTGTCGTCGAACCCACTGTTGCAGCCACTGTGTCAACCCATCATCTTGTCCAGGGTCGTCCTCTTTTTCACGGTCCCTCTACTTCATGATGCTCTTTTCCAAGGGCTAGTCTCACATGGTAACATGCCCAAAGTACGTCAGACAAAGTCTTGCCACCCATGCTTCTAAGGAGCAAGGCTGTACTTCTTCCAAGATAGATTTGTTCTTTGGGCAGTTCATGGTACTTTCAATATTCGTCACCAGCACCAACATTCAAATGCATTGACTATTCCTTGGTCTTTCTTATTGAACGTCCAATTCCCACACACATCTGCGGTGGCTGAAGATACCATGAACTGGGTCAGGTACACTTTGTGCTCAAGTTGGCATCTTAATTTTTCAACACTTTCAAAGGGTCTTGTGCAGACCTTAAATGTTAAAACCCACACTCACTGCCATTGAGTCACTGCCGACACACAGAACACGGTAGAATTTCCCTGTGAGTTTCTGAGACTCTTTGCGGGAGTAGAAAGCCTTGTCTTGCTCCCATGGAGCGACTGGTGGATTCTAACCGCTGACCTTGCAATTAGCAGCTCAAGGAATGACCACTACACTACCAGGGCTCGTCTGAGATGAGTGTGTTCAGTGAAAATTGTTTCCAAAATACCCAATAGGCAAGTGATTCTCACTGCTCACTTTATGTGACCTGTAATTCTGGATCGGGTCCCTTTAAAAAAGGTGCCAAGGGTGCTTTCAAGACCTTCCCCAGCTGCCACAAAAGAAGCAGATTCTAGAAGCGGAATGCATGTTCCTACCTGAAATACCAAACGACCTCATATCCAACTTTGTAATACTGAGTACACAAGAACATACCTTCCACTAAGTGGCCAGCACATCTTCCTTATCTTTTTAAATTGCAATTTAGAACAAGCATGCCTTTTGTTCAGTGCTGTGGGTGTGAACTGCTCCTGATAAGCACACTTCTCCACAGAATACCAGTGTTTGCATCAGCAACTCCCTCCCTGCAATTGTACACATTCGTCCTGAATCAAACTAAACCCACACTCTCTCGAGCATCCTTGATGTCTCTGGCATGTCCAGAACGAACTGTGGCATAGCAATGGCCACTGTGTAACACAATTTGTTTCACACAGGAACGGAGTTGAAGGCCCCTAACCACTACTTTCCTAAGCATGGTATCCTCCGGGGACTGGTCCTTTCTGGTAACACGTTCAAAGTGTGAGAGTTGAACTCTCAACACCCTTGCTTCTTAGGAGCCTTCTGGCTGGGCGCTTGGTTTTTAAACAGCAAGGACTGTTCTAAAGAGGCACAGTCTCGGAAACTCACCCTGCCATACAGTGTCGGCTCAGCTACCCTCCAATCCCCCTGGGACAGAACAGTCTGATGGATAACTCACTAGCAGTGTGCACCATCTAGGGAGAAATGCCTTCCTTATATACTGCAGAAGAAATGTCCAACTGCTGTAGGATTATTTTAAGCAAATCCAATAGGAAACACATAAAACCAAACCTCGATTGACAGAAATGTTAAAGGACTGTATTTCAAAACTTACATACACTGTTGAGGTAACTTGGCCATCATATAACAGCAGAAAAGATTCTTCTGCCTAATGGTGGATTATCTTTCTCAGGAGAGATGGGACTTGAGCTTGCTCAGTGCCAATCCCAGCATCTAGAAGAGTCTTCAAAAGCAACACAGGAAGGGATCGGAAAATTTGTATTGAGATAATACATGGATGATGTTAAAACAGTGATTTTAATCCTCCTCTGCTGACCTGCCAGGAGTTGTATTTTGTGGGTCTAATTAAGACAAGTTTCTTTCTCTTTTATACGGTGGCGGTGGTTAGGAGCTGCTGAATGGATTTAGCCTTAGTGACCCCACGTGTCCACCCAGTCAGGTTTCAGACACCATCATCTCTCAGGAACTGTGGGAGTTTGAACTGCAAACTTTTCGGGGAGCAGCTAAGCACTGAACTGTTGCTCTACCAGGGCTCATATTTATATACATGGAATATTAAGTCTAAACGTTGGCCAGTGCCCACTGCTAAGGTTTGCTGACCCCATGAATGGCACGTGCTGTTTGGATGGCAGACGCGTGGGTAAGACTCTGTCCCACGTCACAGGAAGCGTTAGCAAAAGAAATCCAGTGACCTTTTTAAAAAAAGATTACAAAATTGAATTTATTGAGTTTTCACACAAGATGCACTTAGAAAATTAGTAGGGAACGCCACTGTCAGAGACAAAAATGACCATTACCCAGGCGCCTCACAGCATCGACAGGTGAATGTCTTCCCAGTGACAGCCCAGACACAGGTTCCCAGCTGACCGGAACGACAGACACACTGTCCGTCCGTCCGTCCTCACACTCACCGGGGAGTGCGAGGTTGGGCCGAGGCGTCTCTAGCTTCTTCCCGCTCACGGATCTCTACTTGATGAGAGAGGAGGTGGAGGCAAGAATAACAATCCCAACAGCAGGTTCCATCGACACATGTAACAAAGCCATGACAATAAGCGTCTTCTCATTTTTAACTGAAAATACTTCCTGCTCTCACAGAAGCATTTGTGTACACTCTCTTCTTTGACCCCAGCAGAGCACAGCGCCGCATGTTTAAATTCACTTCTTGTATTTCAAAGCAACAAGTGCCGACGGTCGCTTTCTCTGTCGCCCAGGAAACGGGCAGATGGCTCAAGTTCACCTCAGGCTTCACTAGTGTGAAGCAAAAGTGTACCCGAGACATCTGCACAAGGGCTGGGCTTCTCAATCACAACCGTTCCCAGAAGCAACACCTTCTGGACTGTTCTGAACACACAAGCTTTTAGCTGCTTACAAAAGGCAGAGAGGAGTCTCAAGTACAACATGCTGGCAAAGAACCTGCCCTTTCAGGAGGCAACGGTCAGCCATGAGGCCGGGATGGAACCTAGATTGTGGCCACCTTTGGCTGCCGTTGCCCACACCCACACCCACACACACCACCTTCCTCCTCGCTCCCACCGACCTTCACGGCATGTTCTCCCAGCGCAGTCACTTCTACAGCAGAGCCCACCCCAGCACACACACCCTGGCACCTAAACCCAGTCAGATTCTGTCCCAGGCGCATGCAGCCCACCCCCGCCATGCTCCTCATACCGACTCCATGCCCCAGTCACCCAGACAGACCTTCTCCCACATTACACCCCGACCCTGGCAGACACACCCCGGTACCTGTTCCCAGAAACACCACCCACTCTCTCCCCATACACACCCTGCTCCCAGTCACACGCCCTACACAAACCCACCCTTGGCACGGACACATCTTCCCCAGTGGGCCCCATCTGGCAGACTCACACCCCAAGCACTCTCCCCATACAGACCCCTCCCCAATCATTCTCTCCATAAAGCACTCCACCCAAATTACTCTCCCCATCTAGAACCCACTGCCCTCCAGTCACTCTCCCCAGACAGACCCCAGCCCAGGCATACATCAAACCGTCACTCTTCCTATATAGACCCTGCTCCTTGTATATATTACCGGCCCCTTTCCCACCCC